ATGCAGGCATGTACCCCACACACGGTTACAGGTGGGACAAGATAGCATGCTTGTGAGCATGCATCGTGATTTGTGGATGTTTGGGTGAGCAGTCTTGCTATTGCGAACAAACAGTTTGGCCACTTTCCACTTGTGCCTGCTCGAGCACAGAAAGTTTCCTTGGGGACAGGATTCTCCCGCCCTGTGGACAATCTGTGCAAAGAACGCGGAGTGGCCAAGAGGCAGGACATAAATTTGCACAAGTTGGAGACAGTGAGAGCGTATTCTTTGCGCAGGCGGCTAGCGGCTGCTGAGAGCAGGTCGTTTGGTACCTGACATGATTGAACTGGCTGATCAATGCGGCACATCATGCTCGAGCAGATGAAGCTCACAGGGTTGCAGGTACGGCTCTAAATGCTGTCGGCATCGCTTGCATTCTTCGAGCGGAGCTCAGATCGAAGAATCTCAGAGAACTCCGCAACTGGCTTTTCATGTATCGCTCAGTCCACGGTCCGTCAGAGGTCCGTCAAGTACGGCAAGACGAAGTGTGGCCGCTGCTTCAGGCTCCGATGCTGTTGTTTCGCGCATGCTTGGCGCCAAAGCTAACATTCTACGTTGAGCCAGAATGCATTGCACACATTGGCAGATGCTTGACGTGCTCGTATTCCCAACACCGCAGCATTCTTCGGCTTTTTTCACTGGTTTTGGACTTTCCCCGCCATGGCTCGTGTGTACTCCTCCAGCAGCCGCTTGGCATTTGCTGCCGCCTCCGCTTTGTGGGTGTGGGCGGCCTGCACGGCCTTCGTGTCTTCCGGCAACGGAGTGAAGGGACTGCGCGGTGTGGAGCGCAACTCCCATGCCGAGTATGCCCCCTTCCCAACAAGCCAGGAGACGGGCGAACCTGGCGCCCGCAGCAGCCTGACGTCTGGACTTCAAGCGGTGCTTTTGGCAGGGGTATTTGGATTGGTTGTGGGTCTTGCCCCGGTTCGGGCAGAGGAGGCTGCCGCTCCGGCAGAGGCACCTGCAGCGCCATCGGGCGCTGATGTGACGGAGATCCTCTCCAACCAGCTGAAGAACAAGGATGCTGGCCGTACTGCAGGAGTGAGCCGATCCAAGGCAAGGAAGACCCTTCAGAAGAAGACGTCATCGGTGGCAGAGTCTACTTCCAAGGTTGGCGTCAGTGTTTCTCAGGACCCAGAGACTGGCAAGAAGAAGCGAGTCATCTTCTCTCCTGCAGACGAGTTGGATGAGGATGAGCTGTCCCCGACTCGCCCGAACCAGCCTTTGCTCGCCCTGATCTTCGCCACCCCTGTGACGATCTACCTGACCTTCTATGTGCTGGGTTCCCTCAACATCATTTGAGCCGTCTAAGGCAAAGCTGCTATGTGGGATACTTAGAGCGAGGCCCTGACTGAGGCCGATTGGCAAAAGTGTGCGGGGATTATTTTGTGTGACTTTGACAAGTTCAAGCGACCAGCGTGTTTCATGTTTAGGCAAATGTCCATAGCGAATTCCATGTCTGCGAATGCCAAGCAAGCATGACATGCAAAACTCAGCTTGCTTTGCGTTGCACGTCACGACGGAACAAGCCAAGTAGATACATCCAGTCTCAGGCATCCCCAGACACACTCCGCAATGGCTCGTGTGTACTCCTCCAGCGGCCGCTTGGCATTTGCTGCCGCCTCCGCTTTGTGGGTGTGGGCTGCCAGCACGGCTTTCGTGTCTTCCGGCAACGGAGTGAAGGGACTGCGCGGTGTGGAGCGCAACTCCCACGCCGAGTATGCCCCCTTCCCAACAAGCCAGGAGACGGGCGAACCTGGCGCCCGCAGCAGCCTGACGTCTGGACTTCAAGCGGTGCTTTTGGCAGGGGTATTTGGATTGGTTGTGGGTCTTGCCCCGGTTCGGGCAGAGGAGGCTGCCGCTCCGGCAGAGGCACCTGCAGCGCCATCGGGCGCTGATGTGACGGAGATCCTCTCCAACCAGCTGAAGAACAAGGATGCTGGCCGTACTGCAGGAGTGAGCCGATCCAAGGCAAGGAAGACCCTTCAGAAGAAGACGTCATCGGTGGCAGAGTCTACTTCCAAGGTTGGCGTCAGTGTTTCTCAGGACCCAGAGACTGGCAAGAAGAAACGAGTCATCTTCTCTCCTGCAGACGAGTTGGATGAGGATGAGCTGTCCCCGACTCGCCCGAACCAGCCTTTGCTCGCCCTGATCTTCGCCACCCCTGTGACGATCTACCTGACCTTCTATGTGCTGGGTTCCCTCAACATCATCTGAGCCGTTTCTGCTTTGCAGTTCTCCCCCAGACAACAGATGTCTTGGCGAAGGAAACATGGTGCGCTGACATTGTCAGTTTTCCCACTGCTACACAGTGATGCGTGAGTCAAGTTTTGTGCAAAGGACGGGTTTAGGCATTGCATGTCTGGCAGACATTTGGGTTGGCTTCCTTTTTTTGTTGAGTCTTTGACATCCTGGCTTTGTTGAGGCTCCCAGGTCAAGACAGAGAAGGCATCAGGCTTGGGACTCATTTAGCTTTTTGCCATGGCTCGTGTGTACTCCTCCAGCGGCCGCTTGACGTTTGCTGCCGCCTCCGCTTTGTGGGTGTGGGCTGCCTGCACGGCCTTCGTGTCTTCCGGCAACGGAGTGAAGGGACTGCGCGGTGTGGAGCGCAACTCCCACGCCGAGTATGCCCCCTTCCCAACAAGCCAGGAGACGGGCGAACCTGGCGCCCGCAGCAGCCTGACGTCTGGACTTCAAGCGGTGCTTTTGGCAGGGGTATTTGGATTGGTTGTGGGTCTTGCCCCGGTTCGGGCAGAGGAGGCTGCCGCTCCGGCAGAGGCACCTGCAGCGCCATCGGGCGCTGATGTGACGGAGATCCTCTCCAACCAGCTGAAGAACAAGGATGCTGGCCGTACTGCAGGAGTGAGCCGATCCAAGGCAAGGAAGACCCTTCAGAAGAAGACGTCATCGGTGGCAGAGTCTACTTCCAAGGTTGGCGTCAGTGTTTCTCAGGACCCAGAGACTGGCAAGAAGAAGCGAGTCATCTTCTCTCCTGCAGACGAGTTGGATGAGGATGAGCTGTCCCCGACTCGCCCGAACCAGCCTTTGCTCGCCCTGATCTTCGCCACCCCTGTGACGATCTACCTGACCTTCTATGTGCTGGGTTCCCTCAACATCATCTGAGCCATGCGTGGCAGCTACCAGCCTTGATCATTTTTCCTGAGGGATGTGGTTCTGGCAAAAGAAGTCGATTCTGCAGGTGACCTGTGGGATGGGTCAAAATTACCCCACCAGGAAATGGACCGCTTTGAGTGCTTGGCCGCCCATTTCCCGGGGCAACCCATTTGGGGGGATACCAACAATTTCGGACATGTCCAAGGACCATATTTCAGGACCATTTAGGGACATGTCCAACTAGTTTAGAGCAGGCCCTATTTTCGACCACAGCGAGGTCGAAGTTGCTTCGTCCCGTGGCCTGGCAGGTGCGAATGCACGGGATCAGGGCCGGAGGCTGGCTGGGGGGGTCGATCTACACCCTGCGAGGTTCTTGCGTGTTTTTCTTTTTGGTCCTCCTTTTTTTTTCCCGCCTCCCATCTTGCTGGCGGTCAGGTTGGTGCCAAAGTTGCCCAATTACTTGGTGAGAATCCTGGCTGGCATCGCTCTTGGTGAAATCATGGGCCTTCCTACCTTTGCAGGCAGGTTTGATGGGATGCCTACAGTAGATTGATGGCAGTGAACAAGCGGACAGGCTTTTGGGCACAATTGTCCATTTGTGGTGTGAAGAGAGAGAGAGAGAGAGGGAGAGAGTAAGAGAAGGATATAGAGGGAGAGAGAGAGAGAGAGAAAGAGACAGAGAGAGAGAGAGAGTGCGAGCGAGAGGGAGAGAGAGAGAGAGAGAGAGAGAGCGAGAAAGCGATTTCCAGGTGGCCGGCCGTTCCTGGTTGCATATGTATTTGCGCTTGCCTTATGACTTGAGTTGTCACTGCACATTAAGACCTGATCGTGTACTGGAGGTCGTGTACTTGATCTCCATCGAGTGCACTGGCTTTGTAGTGAGGCGTGTGTTGCCTTTGCATTACTGTCGCTTGAGGTACTCTCGTTTGATAGCAAATGTTTTGACACCTCCACCAGTGAGGCAGGGCGTTGTTGCAATGGCTGACAGCGAGTGCGAGTTGTTCTTTCAGTATGAGTACAGTGTTCACTTAACAGTCTGTTTTTCTAAGGTTTTGCAATTCTGCAAGGGTTACCCAGCTAGAAAGGCTTATTTTATTCTCGGTCAGCATCCTTCCGATGATGTGGTCTTTTGCTTCAGCGTGCCTGGATATTTTAGCCAGAGCATTGCCCCCCCCCCCCCCCATTTTATCAACTTTACAATGTCATGTCATTCTCGCCAGTTTTTCAGCATGGAATGCACCTAGCACTGAAGATGCTTTGGATCTTGCAGTTGAGACACAAGAGGCGTCCTCGCTTGAAAGCCAGCGATACTCAGCGTTTAAATGCACTGACTACATCGGATATATAACCTGTCAAATGTCAGTTGCGCTGCAGCAAAATGAAACCATGCAGTCAAGCGGCAGGAACCTAGAAGGAGCATTGGTTATCGTAAATACTCAAGACTTGTTGCAACATGCTTGATGCGTCAGCACACACACACACAAGATTCGCACACTTAGTGATAACAATCGACGCAGCCTGATTGAGAGCAACACAACACGACCAAGCTTGCACAGCAACATCGATGGCTCTCCATGTGACAGGAGCCGCCACTGAAAAGCATATGCTGCACAGCGGCATTTCAGCCAGCAAAAAGCAACAGGCCGCAAGGACACTTGAACACAACGGGCAGTCACACCATGCCTTCAAGCATCTGTCTATTTGTTGCGCACATGACCGCCATGATTGCTGCAAACCACAAGTTTCATGTTTTCATGAATTGACAAGCAAAGACTTTATGCTCGCCTGCACAGCACCAGCAGCCATGCTTGAATATGAAGTTTGTCACTCCTTCAAGCAGCTGCAGCATTCGAAACGCGTCGCTCTTTTTGAGAAATGCCTGAATTGTTGCATTTGATCTTCTGCCTCGCCCCAGCACGAGAGCAGAAAGCCTGAGGTCCCTTTCAGGCTCAGACGCCGTCCAGGAAGCATCCAGAACATTTGTTTTGCATCAGCCTCGGGTCATCCGCCGGTCCACCTGATGCGTTAGAGACGATGAACACAAGCAGCGTTAGAGACGATGGACCAAATGGGCCAAGCTGGCGAAACAAACGAATGAACACCTTGGCGAGAAATAGCACCTAGTTGACCTCCTTGCACCCTGTGCCATCCAGGAGACGTCATAGAAATTTCCACAGGCCCAGGGCACAACCACAAGGTGTTCTAGTTGAAATCTTTGCCGACCAATGACCCTGGCAAAGACAAACTGGCCCTTGAGGTTCCTCATGATTTCCGTACATCTCCCCCACGATTTCAACGGTTTTCAAGAGTCTCAAAAAACCAGTTGCCCGCAGGGTTTGCCCATGGGTTCCGAACAGTTGCCGGAGACTTCTACTATGGGCAGACACAAAAGCTCCTTTTGAGGAAGGGCTCACTTGCGCCAGGGCCCAGCGCTGGGCTCTTTTCCTCGTCAGCGCCTCCATCTTGGTAGCAGCACATTGCAAAGCCCGGGCCTTGGCGCAGGACACATGGCAGTGGCTCAAAAACAAAAAGGTACCAACATGGGTTGCCCTGGTAAGTGGAACCATGGACCAAAACCAGCGGTTTGCCCTAGCTCTTTAATTTTGAGCCACTGCCATAGACCGGGCCAAGCGAGTCTGGCAACTCAGGTCCTGACGGGAATATTTGAATGCGCCGCTGCCAATGGCTTAAATGGGGTAGGAGGTCATCCAGTTGGCAGGAGGCAGATGCGCTGAGGTTACCCTGCTTGGGCTGATGCTTGTGCTGCAAGGCACATGCTCCATTTGCTTCATGCGGGTTCTGCAAGCCTTGGGCTTTGTACATCCTTGTGCTCAGGGAACACCAAGTCCCCAGACGGCTCGTCGCCAATATCGTGCATGACTTACACGTGCGAGCTTTAAAGGCAAGTGCTTGGAATGCTTGCTTGCATGCTTCTGAGAATCCCATGCTTGTGGTGGGTGCAGGTTCCTGAATGGCATGCCTCTCCATTTGCAGCGCTGCTGGCTGCCAAATCTCAGGTTTTCGCACATCGCTTCTCAAGTCTTCGGGGTCTTCTACGTGGGTTACCTGCCGTCTTTTTGGGTGCGCCCTGGCGAAAGCACGCCTCGACATTGCATCTCAGAGAGTCCCTGGATGGATCGCGCATAGCTTTTTGTGTTCAAAGTTGCCTTGCGGCACCTCGCGATCGAAACTGCTCGTTTTTTTGTTGTGCAAAGTGTCAACACAAGTGTATCAGAAATGCTTGTGAATCTTTTGGGGTAACACAGTGTCCCTGCTTCTATGGCTGCTTGGCCACTGGATCCGTCTAGGCCCAGGGAAGTGGCAGCTGTATGTTTTTTTCATTTTCGGTCTATCTGTATTTTGCGCGTTGACAACATCGGGCACCACCGGAACGAAAGCCCGATCAGATCTTGCAGGTTACTCTCAGCCCAGATCTGTAGGTACGGAAACTCGTGACCCCCGACGGAACTGAACTCCGATAAATCTGAATGTAAAACCGACAACCGAAAGGCACTTTTCGGGTCCGAATGGCCGAAAGAGCAGATGGCTCTGTCTTGACGTCGCAGGTACGGCTGAGAGCCATGGGGCCCTTGCTGCCAGCTGGCGCCCCTTCAGGCTGCACTCGAAAGAGAGAGAGAAAGAGAGAGATGTGGCCAGTTTTGCGCTTTGTTGGTGTCCTTTTTGGTGGTTTTGGTTGAAAAATAGCTGGTTTGCCTGGTGGTTTAATCAACCAGGGCCACCTATGCTTGCGCTTTGTTTGTGTGAGAAAGGCTTAACATGGCGCCAGCTTTTGGCTCTGGCTTTGCAGCTGTAAAGCAGGCTGCTGTATAGCAGACTGTACAGCGGACTGTATAGCAGACAGTAGAGCAGTCTGCATAGCAGACTGCATCGCGCTGGCGTGGTCGCGCATTTAGTGGCTTGGCCAAGTGGACATCAAGCGGCAGATGTATTCCATCAATGCAATGTCAGATGTCGTATGTTATGTTTGTCATGCTCAGGTGATGAATCCAAGTCTTCGAGCAACAGGTATCGCTATTTTATCTGCGTTGGGTGCTCTTCTCTTTGGCCTGGACATAGGCTGGAAGTACGTTGGCTTGATAGATACGGCCATGGGTCAGAATCCCGTACCCCCGGTGAGCATCCCAATCCCCACTAAAATAGGAAACCTAAAATGGGTGATGCACCTACAAACCAACATGGGATCCCGTTAAACGGTTTTGACCACAGCCAATACCGCCGGGTCGTCAAACGGTTTTCTACTTGACAAGCGACAGGCTACATCGCCCCGATCCTCGAGTGCGCCTCCTTCAAGCGGGATGTTGCACATTTGGCCGACTGGCAGAATCCAGGTGTCAGGATCGATGATTACACAGCAGGTTGGCGGTGCATGCTCGATTTTTTTTTGGCGCTGCTTGTTTGAGCTGCTGGTTGAGCAACTTGTGCACTTGTGCTTGCATGTGAATTGCATTCCCTGGGCAGGTTTCATCGTTGGCATATTTTCGATTGGCTGCATTGTATCATCTCTTCCGCCCGTCAGTGCGTATTTTCTCAACGTGTGGGGCAGGCGCAGCTCCATCATTCTGGGCTCGGCGGTGTTTCTGCTGGGCAGTCTGTTGCAGGTCTTCGCCTGGTCCATTGTTACCATCCTCTGCGGCCGCTTCGTCTCGGGTTTGTCCATCGGTCTTCTGAGCGCCGTGGTGTCGCTGTACCAGAGCGAGTTGGCGCCCCCGGCGCTGCGCGGCCGCTTGACGTCCATGTACCAGCTGATGCTCACCTTGGGCATTCTGCTGGCGGCCTTCGTGGACCACGAGCTGGTGCACCTGGACCACGGCTGGCGGGCCGCGATCGCGCTGCAAATGGCACCGGCGCTGGCGCTGCTGCTGGCGATGCCGTGGATGCCCCGGTCCCCCCGCTGGCTGGTGCAGCAGGACCGCGTCGACGAGGCCCTGGCGGCCTTGAAGTTGGTGCGCGAGGAGCCCGCCGCTGAAGCGGAGCTGGCGGAGATCGTGGCGAGCCACCGGAAAGCAAAGGCCGGGCGTTTCAAGCGGTCCAGTTTCACTGTGAAAAAGGCGCCTGAATCTTGAAATTGGGAGTAAGCTTCAGAAGCAAATGTAAGCCATCAATGATGTGACCGTGCTTAGCAAACCTCAAGTTCAACAGAGCGAGCTGGTTCTTGGATTCTCGAAGCAACCCACACGCGGCTTGGTTCTAAGAATCCGCAGGTGTTGGGGGAGTCTTCCTGGAAGGAGCTCTGTCAGGGTCGAACTGGACATTTGCTGCTGGTCGGTGTGGCCCTTCAGATGTTGCAGCAGCTGGTTGGGATGAACGCCTTGATGTATTTCGGACCACGCATGTTCGCTGACATCGGCATGAACCCCACGCTATTCCAGACCCTCAGCAATCTCGTGAACTTTCTCGCCACCTTTCCCGCTTTGCTTTTCGCCGATCAGTACGGGCGTTGTTCATTGCTTTGGTGGAGTGCAGCGGGGATGGTTGTAGCCTGTTCCACCATCAGTTCCGTGGGTGGAAGATTCGTGCTCGCCAACTCGGATGGCACATACACATCGACCAGTGGAACCGCCAGCTACGTTATAGTAGCGATGATGTTTCTTTTCGTGATCAATTTTGCGTATGGTTGGGGGCCAATCGTCTGGGTTTATACTTCAGAGATGTTTCCACTCCGCTGTCGAAGCCAGTGTGTAGCGGCGACCACCTGTGCAAACTGGGTTGGCAACTTTCTGGTGGCTCAGTGCACTCCAGTTTTGCTCGGGCACGTGGGCTTCCTAACGTTTTACATCTATGGCGCTTTCGCATTCTTGGCGCTGCTGCTTGCACGCTGGCTGCCGGAAACGAGGGGGGTGCCTTTGGAACAGATGGATCGAGTCTTTGATGACAAGCTGGGGCTCCCGTGCAAGAGTCACGGGCCGTTAGGGGAGGCCTTGTTGAGTCATTTGAAGCAGCTGGAAGCATGAAGAAAGACTTTGTCCGTAAAGCACCGGCTGAGAGCGGGAAGTATTCAGGTTCTAAAGTTCCTGAAAGACCCTGGAAGTGCTTGCCAAGTGGAGTGTCTTGCAAAGCAGCGGCATCCTTGGCTCTTTGAACAACGTCCTCTGCATGATTTGGAGCTTCAAGGCGCGAAAGGCCTTGAGTTCGAGTTCGCTGGGGCTGAGTAAAACTCAATGCCTCCGGCATCCGCAAGCTGCCTGCAGGGTCACAGCGCCGATGGAGCGCTTCTTCGCCATTTGGGCAGAAGGCAGAGTCTCTGCGACTTGACATTTGAAGCGTCGATGGAAGACTCGAAGTCAGCCCCACTGCCGCTTTCAGAGACCTTCCGATTCAATGCCAAGTCGAAGGCTCTGCGGACCATGTAGTTGGCATGACAGAGATAAGAAGCTCCCCAGAAGTAAGAATCCAACATGCAAGGAACCTACACCAAAGTCAGAAGTTGAATCAGGGGACGTTATATTCGAACATGATTCAATATTCTGCCACACCAAGAAGATACAATTCAGCAGGAGCTGCTGTTATTGAGGTTGTAGCGGAGCCAGCTGTGGACCCACCATGTCATTCGCACCTCTTCCTTCAGGAACCCCTTTGTCTTCCCATCAAGCTGCGCAGTACATGCATGAGGGGCATTCATAGTATGGGAATAGTCAGCTGGATAGATGAGGGGGGAGCGTACGAGGACATGAGGTACGGAGCGGGAGGGGGGGCATTCGCGCTCGAACTCCCAAATTTGAAACCGCAGGAGGTTCTCTCAGTTGAGCGTGAATGTATGCAGGTTTTTGCCTGCAGTTTGTTGTTGCACTGTGAGTATTATGCAATTTTGCTCGGTCAGCTCTGTAGAATGACATTTTTCGCGGCTTCAGGTGCGCATGGCATCTTATACACGTACAGCTTCGCAGCAAGCGTGCGAGCTGATCAAAACCGGGGCCCAGTTATTGAGTTGCCACCCGCTATCTTGCATGGCAACGCACTTGTTCATAGTGCAAAACGAATGGCTAGCTATTCTATTGCAGGCACCGTTTTACTACCCCTCAAACTTGAATACAACAACCATGGCAAGGCTGCTCAATATTGACACGCGGCAATACCAATTCACCTTTCGAAAGTACGAATACTGTTCGGCCCTCTGTAGTTCCAGGATCATTGGCAACATGAACATGTGCTGAGTTGGTCATGTCACTAGCTGCCCACCTGGGCAAGAACACTACCATCCCTTTGACCCTGTTCACCAAGTCCAACGAATTGTTGGTTGGTCAGGATTAGGCATAGGGGCAGGCATCGCTCAGGGTGTGAAAAGGCAACAGCACATTCCCAGCTTACACATCATGACACTTATGAGTGCATGTGTGCAAACTTGACTGAGCACGAGAGCCGCGTGAGCGCTTGGTAGTCATGGCAGTATGGTGGGAGCCTGGTCAGGATGAATTCACCGACAGGAATGGCGAGTCCCCTTTTGTGGCGAAAGAATTTCTGGAAGAGAGCAACTTCCAGCACCTGTACAAGGTATCGCTTGCCCGGTGGCACCTGTGGGGTTTTGAGCTTTTGCATGTGAAAGCCCGAAAATCGAGATGTCGGGTTTTGAACAAACTTTTGCATGTACAGCAGCCTCTTTTGCATCTGAAAGGTACTTCAGCCTCTTAAGCGGCCTCCAAAATCTGTCGGGTTTTGAACTTTTGCATGTGAAAGGTACTTCAGCCTCTTGAGCCATCTTAAGCCTGAGATTCCCTGAAGGGAACTGGAGAGCCGCGGGCCGTGGACGCCCACGAGCTCGCTGCTTCCTTCACTTGTGCCGTGAATACCTTCGTGCAGCACTACTGGACATGCCTCAAGGACTACGAGGTCACTATCGAGCGGCACGTCGAGGGCTCTGGTCACCTAGCTTTGGAGGCCCATAGCCCATGCATGGGGGTAGGAGCTTGAGCTGAAGAAGCAACAGCGTTCATCGTTCAAGTGGTTGAACTCAGGATAAACCCATCTGGCTATGAATTTTAATTGGGAGCCATCTCAGAAGTGGTTGGTGCACATGAACCCCCATCGAAATGATGTCCACCAAAGGGTCCCCCATTAAATTTCACACACACGTTACTGGAACAAGCTGAATTTTTGCACTGCGTCTTTGTGATGAGTTTGGGCTGTTGAGTCTTTCAGGCAATGATGCCGAAGTGGCAGGAGGACCTTGTGGAGCATTTTGGAATTGGCCTCGACCCAGAGGCATTGAGGGCAGTTGCCGGACGATTGTTGGACGTTTGGAAGGTCTCTTTGGCGGGCGGTTGTGACCGGGGATTGAAGTGAGTGCGTTGGGGCGCACCCTTTGCTTCGGGTATTCCAGGCATTTGAGGCATTCAACCGGCACGTGGGTGTTCGACTTTCGGGTGCAGAGTGGCAGGCCACCATCAAGATGTACACCAGCGGCACGATGGTGGCCATTCGCCGCGTGGTGAAGATTTGCTCGCTGCAAGCTGATGGACTGACAGTGTATCCTTCCGATGTGAAGTTGCCGGAGGGGCTGGACCTTGGACAAGTCGGAAGACCTTCCTCGATCGAATCCACGGACGAGGTGGGAAAGACCAAGCGCACGCTCTTCCGACCATTTCAATTTCCGGTGGACATCCCTGGACTGGACTACCATGAGTTCATCCACACCAACTTTTCAGACTGGAGGGGGAGGAGGCCGATCCACTTTTTCGAGCGCAAGCCCTTCCACCGAGCCCTGAACTGCGCCATCTGCCAGGATGCGCCGAACGTTCTGAAGGCCGTGATGAAGATTATCATGGACATGAACTACTTCATCAACTCGGTGCATCATGCTGGAGGGGTTTTCTACAGCGGAGTTGGCATTGGAGAATCCTTGCGGCTGGTTCGAGACGGGGCAAAGCTGCGCATGCCGCGATTTTTGTCGACCACCACGGAGCTGAAATTTGCAAAGTCACGGCTAACCGACAAAGTGGGGCCTGCTCTTCTGGTGGTTCGAGTGCCACACGGCTTTTGGGGTGCAAGAGATATATCAGCCTTCTCCTCTTGCCCAGAGGAGAATGAAACGATGTTTTGTGCATACGCATTGTTTGAAGTGGAGCGCGTATCCTCAATCAAATTGCAAGGTCAAGAAGTGACCCGCATCGATCTGAAAGCTTTAGACAAGTATGAAGGAATCGAGTATCCGGATGTGTCCTATCCACCGTTTCACCATGCCGAAGTTGATTTGGATGAGCTAGACGCCCATCATAGCTATGTTCGTCAGGACTCCTAGGTTTTTGTGCCAGGAAAGGACTTCAAAGAGCGCATTTGCGTGAAAGCCTTTCCTGAATCCTCTCGAGTCCTTGCATATCATGGGTGACTCCGGGAAAAGACGGCCGCTTTGGGTTTACCGGCTGTGAAAGCATAGTGCAGAAGATTCGGTTGTGGTCATGTCGCCCGAGTTGTTGTGCGGAGGCTTCTTGACGGGGCTGCTCCGTCTCATTCATTGGCCTCTGGATCGAAGCGTTGGCTGCTGTGCATCTTGGCATTCAAATGGCCATGGGTCAATACCTTTGCCGAGCCAGTTTTTGGCGCGGATGAACACCCATGTACCGCGGAAATTTTGATGATCACCAGGGGTTTTATGGGTTTTGACCCACAGCCAAATGGGGCAAGCCCCGAGCGTTGCATTGCATGGCTGGCATTGCCAGGTCACTGTTTCGTGCGTGCTTTGCATCATAGCCGCTGACTCCTTTGCGTACTTCGGAGGCAGGGTAGCAGGTCAAAACGGGTTCCGAGCTTGTGCAGACGTGCAGGCAAGACTTGGGGCAAGACGCCGCTGATTATGATCAGCCCCAAGAAAACCCAAGAGGCGGGGCTGAAGCAGGCGGCCAGCTGGAAGCCTTGGTACTGCAATCGATTGCCCAGGGAGCCTTGTGCGGCCTGCTGGGCTCGGTCTTGATGGCGCTGCTTTGTGACCAGGTTGTGGGGGGAGGGTCAGTTACAGTTGGGGGGGGGGAAATACCAGGCACCTTGCTGAGAATGGAGGGGGGTGAGTTTCAGGGTCAGTTTGAAACACGGAGATTGACAATTTCTGTTCAAAAGCGAGTTTCGCTCTCAGCATATGCCGGCAACTTTTTGCTTAGTTGCCAGTAGGTTCAAGTCAACTTTTGCCCGGATGCTGCAACACGTTCCACGGGTCCATCGCGCTGTCACATCTTGCAGGCTTGGGGTTTCCCCTCGGACCCCCTCGTTTCAGCGCGCTGCTCTCATGTCGATTGCGCTCAGCCGCTGTCGCTTTCAGCCTGTGGCGTGCTGAGGAGCGTGGGCGCTCTGGTCTTCTACGCCAGCCTCCTTGGGGATCTCGTCGTCTCAGCCAAGCGCTCAGCCGCAGGTAGAACGCTGCACCGATCTGCACTCTGCACCGCGCGGTAGGCCATGAAGCGGGACGCGAAAGTCAAGGATCGCCTCATGACTCAGGTTTATTCATGGTTTGCCTTTTGCACTGCTTGGGGGATACACAAGCAGCCGAAACCCCTGGTAGTGTAGAAACCCCTTTTGAAGGGAGGCTGTTCATTTCAGTGGAAAAGGCCAACCCTGCCATGCCATTGGCAAAGCAATCCTGCGCCAGGATGCTGGGTCCCTCATTCCTGGGCATGGTGGCATTCTCGACCGTTTTGACTCCTACTTCTTTGCGCCTGCAGTGGCCTACTTTTGTTGGTACGCCCGCACCAAGAGCGGTTTGCATGATGGTGTCTCGTTATTTTACCATGCTCAGAGTCCCCTCCTAAGGCAAACAACCCCCATTTCTGACTTTGATAACCCCCAGAAACCGTCAAAATAATGGCCCCTGCATGATTGTGACTCTGTCCTGTTTGTAGCCTGCCTGGCCGGTCCGGTGACATTTAGGCTGACTTTCTTTCAGATCTGAAGCGACACACTCATCATCAGAGCAGGAAACTGCGAGATGGCATGGTGAGATGTCTTGGCGGTAATGATGAGCAAAATGTGGAGCCATGATTCTGCCCTGCTTCTTCGGGTTGCTTCTCCTTTATTCCTTTATGTTCTTACAACGTCATTGTGTGTGGAAAGGGCAGGAGCTTCACATGTCCGAAAACTTCATCTTTTGTGGGTGCACGTGGAGATTCGCGGCGTAGGGAGGCCAGTTGCCATGGATGCATCCCAATGGCTCGCCGAGCTCCCGAGCAATCCGGAAGCTTATGCGTGGTGGCCCATCATACTCTACATGTTTTATTTGATGTCTGTCGTCTGCGACGACTACCTCCTGCCGGCGGTGGACGCCATCAGTGCCCGCTTCCACATCCCAGATGATGTGGCAGGCGCGGTTCAAACCCGCGAGGTGTGATGAATGTGCCGGCGCACCAAGACCTAGAGAGTAGGTGCATTCTCGCATAGTTTGGACGATGGCAGTCAAATACGTGCACCTGCAGCACACTCCAAAGTGGTTCCACGTTCAACTTTCCTTCCAGAATGGCACCCGGTGCAGGAGCTACTCTGGTGGCCTTTGCATGCAACGGTCCGGAACTTCTGACCAACAGCTGCTCCATCTACTTGAACGACAGCTCTGTCGGCACGGCTGGCTGAGTTTTTTCCGTTTGAGTTGCATTTCATGTCTATTGCTCAGCTCTTGCATTGGACTGGAGAGGCTGTAAGCAATGGACATTTTAAGGGATCCGAGTGAAGCCATTGCATCTGAAATGGCATACCCGCACCTAGCAAGCACCTAGCACCCATCAGGCATGGGTACCATCGTCGGCTCTGCGATCTTCAATGTCCTGGTGCTCGCCTCGGTGTGTCTCAGTTCATAGCGCCAAGCGAGCACCAAGCAAGCAAGTGCTTCCAGGTGAGCCACGTGCTCAAAATCGATTCGGGCAGATGATCCGATGAGTAAGGGAGAATCCCCTGGCCATTTCTTAGCTGCGGATCTCCGCCTTCTGAATTCTTGAAGCATGGTTCTGGGATTACGACCATTCGGGTATGGGTCAAAATTAAACCACCAGGATATGGACCGCAGGGTAACCCATTTTTGGGTTACCATATTTTTGACCACCACAGCCATTTGAATTCAGGGCTCCTTAAAAGATACATCTTGACACCATCTGAAACATGTTGCTTTTTCAACACACAAATAAGGGGAAACAACACCATTTACAAGTTGCCATGTTCGATCGGTGTTTTTCATGTCAGGGTCCCTGTTCGGGTAGATGAAGGTTAAGGGACAATCCCCTTGCCATGAGTCGCTGAGGATCTCCGCCTGAATTCTTGAAGCATGGTTGTAAGGATCCCTGTTGAATACCTTAATCAGTTTTGATTATGACTCAGGTGATCACGGGCTGCTGCCCACTGGTCGCGCCGAAGCGCGCGCTGAAGATCAACCCTGCCTTTTTCTTGCGGGACGCGGGCTTTTCGGCCGTCTCCATTTGGTCTCTGGACTGAAGCAGACTTAGTTGTGTGACACTCACTCGCTGTTTATGTAAAATATAGTCAGATTTGTTTTGGTTCGCACTCACTCGCTGGTTATCTAGTTTGCGCTCTTTTTCAATCGTAAACTCCGCAAGAGTTGCATGAGTTGCACCAATCACACTCCTGAACATCGGTGCCTGGGCTTCTATGCCTGAAGCAAGAACCAGCATGCCTTTGGGCTCATTCACCCAAGGCATATGCAAAAGGACCTCAGTTGCGACATGTTGTCCACACGACTATGCTTTACATCATCACGCAAGGTGTTCAACACGTGCAATATGGCTGTGGGTCAAAAATGCGTACCCAAAATGGGACCCTTGCAAAAGGAACCAAAGACTAAAACATGTGGTTTTATTTTGACCCAAACCCATATTTTGAGTTCAACACATTGTGTCACACAGGACTGGTTGATCGACACGTGGACGGCACGACTGGTTGGATTGAGAGCTGTTGCAGGTCTCCTCCGAGTCAAAGAAACCGAAGTTTTGTTTTTCAAATGGCTGTGGTTGTCAAACCCGTTTTGGGATCCCATTTTGGTTGGTAGGTGAATTCACCACCCATTTTAGGTTTCCTATTTTAGTGGGGATTGGGATGTTCACTGGGCGTACGATTTGGATTTTGACCCATGGCCAAATGACCACGGGGTCACACCCGTCAACCTTGTTACACCACACTCCGTCACAATGTCACAATCCACTTCTAGAGGAAGTTGCTGCTCAGTTGTTTGAGGATATGACAAGATGTCTCACAATCGTATGTGGGCACCGCTCAATCTCTGTGCGGCATCCTTTATGTGAGGTCTGCCTGTGGTCTTGGTCTCTTGAGTTCAACTTTTGCCCGCCAAGCCACCTCGTCGGATCATTTCCGTCAGCCACATGGCAACTCCACAAATGTTAAGTTGATTCCTGACAGTACCGCAAAAGCATTTGTCGACGTAGGCTGCGTCAAATGGGAAACACAGAGCAAGCTGGGAGGGCAAATGGTTTTGGTTCCAGCGGCAAAATGTGGGTATGGGTCAAAATACAACACCAGGAAATGGACGTCCTTCTTTCCGTTTATTGATCGGGCAAGCCATTTGGGGGTTACCAACTATTTTTGACCACCGCAAAACGTGACTTGTGAGGCTTCTGTGGTGGGCGCTCCCCGTGGTGGACTTGCTCAGAGCTTCCACGTTGCTGGCCTTCTCCGTGCTTTACGCCGTCGTGGTTGCGAAGAGCGAGCAGTGGTTTGGCGGCCATCACTACGCCGCAGCCTCAGAGCGGATGCAGAAATGGCTGTGGGTCAAAATTAAACCACCGGAAGACTGCAGGTTTTAGTCCACGTTGCCATTTACCATGCTGCCTGGGTGGGTAGGCAATCACATGTGGCCATGGGTCAACAGCCAAAATTCCGGTTCGCCCCAGTGAACCTCCGATTCAATCCAACCACTAAAATAGGTACTAGAATGGGTGGTGAATTCACCAGGCCCCCAAAATGGGATCCCATTGGTTTTGACCCCCAGCCAAATTGACAGTGTCTGATACAGACCAAATCTACGGATGGATTCCCTCCAGCGAACTGAGAGAGGCTGAGTTGTGCTTGAGTTTAGTCCTAGGATGGCACAGAATCCTTGGCCTCTGGCCTGATTACTTCACCTTCGAAAATAGCCAGGCAAGGGGCTGTGTGAACCTCCCAATGCATCCAGTCAACATTGGCTTGTCAACATATGCTACAGGCAAGTGTCTGAATTATCAATGGATGATCTCCAGATGCCATTGGTGACATCCCGAAGAACTCTGGTGGACGTTCTACTGTCACCCGGTGGTGTCTTGCTCTGGCTGACCATCCCCAACGTAAAGCTGCAACCCAGCCGATATTTTGGGAGCTTCTTCGTGTCTATGGCGTGGCTCAGCATCACGGCCTACGTCGTTTGTCTCGGCTCTGACCGCATCAACCTCTTTTGGGGCATCCCGCGCAGCTTCCTGGGGCTCACCCTGGTGGCGGTGGGCACTTCTTGGCCAAATCTGCTGGCCTCGGTGGCGACTGCCAGGAGAGGGCAATGGGTTCAAAAGGGTTAATGACCCGAGCCACAATCAAAAGAATGAAGGTTAGTAAGGGGCAGTCCCAGCCAGAAATAGTTGCGGACATCCGCCTTCTTAATTCTTGAAGCATGGTTCTGGGTAGACCATGTTAATACCGGGTTTTGACTGTGACTCACCTTGTCTGCATCTCCAATGAGCACATATCCATGTTGTTTTGTACGTGGCAGGCAAGGCCGGGGCGAGATGGCGGTGAGCAACGCACTCGGGAGTAATGTCCAGAACGTGTTCTTTGTACTTGCATTGCCCATCTTCGTGAGCGTCCTGGTGCGGGGCGACTACACCAGCGACAGCGCGGAGATCTTGTCCTCGGTCTTGTGGAAGCTTGGCCCATGCCAAAGTGGCTACGGCTCATAATTCATGCCTCCATTTTGGGGCGGATGAACACCCAATGTACCACGTATTTTTTTATGTCCAGCAGGGGTAAACTCTTGGGTTTTGACAACCGCAGCCAAGCGACAGACCAGTTGACCGCAAGCTTTCGGGCAGAGCCTAGGATGGGAGCCACACTGGCCGTGGTGGGCCTTTTGATCAGCTTCTCAGGCTTTGTCTTGCGAGCCTGGGCGGGTGCCATCTTCGTCGGGGTTTACTTCTTGTACCTCATACAAGCCTCACGCGAGTTGCTGGCATAGGACGGGCAGAAAAAAAAGGAAAAAAACGCCCGCAGACAGATCGGATCACTCTCAGCCTGCGGAAGCCGTTTTCGGCTGCTCGCAGTTCCGTGCCGTCTTCGTGCACGCTTTCGCGACTGAAAAGGACCCAACATACGCGTAGCTTGCAGAAGCCAATTGTTTTTTGCCGCGTGAAGGCCGTCTTGCTCAATGACAGGTACGCCTTCTTGAAGTACAAAGCTCGCCTGCCTATATCGCTTATCCGCTTCGGAGCGTGAATTGAGTTATTTTCAATGTAGTGCTTCCCTTCGGGCAAGAGCAAGCTGTGCTTTACACCTGGGGTGCCAAAAAATTGGGCCGAAAGCCCATAGTGCATCAACAGTATTGTACAAGCAAAGCGCGCTTGCGTGTTAAACGGCGAGTGGTTTCACGAATGACTTGGGGACTTGGCGCATGCAGCTGGCTCGTGAACGGGAGCAACTTGCACCGCAGCTCCGGCTCTGAGCGCTGTCCGAGCGTCCGGGCGTCCGCTGCCAATGAGGAGCGACTCGTCCGTGCGAGTCCACGCCAGCTCCAGAGAGCCATTTCGCAGGCTGCAATTCCGCAGCGCCGTGGATGAGCGGGGGCAGCTACGAAGCGAAGTCCAGGTGCGTGCACCGCGTGCAGTGCGCAGGGTTGGCAAAATCAAACCATGGAAAACAGCTGTTCAGAGATTGTTACGAGCAAGGCTCCTTGAGGTCTTGGGGTCTTTGGGCTGAAGTTGAGGCCAGGTGTTGCGGCTGCTGTGAGCGCTGAGGCGCTTCAGACAGAGCGTGATGCCCTCGCTGCGGAGGCCAGGGCCTTTAGCCGCCAGGGATTGACTGTCCGAAGTGTTGCGCATGGCCATGGGTCAAAACCCAAAATTCCGTAGCCCCGGTGAGCATCCCAATCCAACCACTAAAATAGGAAACCTAAAATGGGTGGTGAGTTCGCCTACCAACCAAAATGGGATCCCAATAACGGTTTTGACCCATAGCCACATAGCATTGTCGTGCGGCTGAAATTGCGCACTGCCGAATGTGGGTTGTACAAGGCTGTCATAGCAACCTGGATGTTGCCAAATCCAAGGTGCAAAGACTGCAGAGTGGCAATCAAGACCACCTTGAGGTGCCAACCCCGGACTTCATTGAGCATATTTTGGCAGGGCAGTCCGCCATTTTGGCTTTCGTTTCTTGCGCTTTGCTTTCCGATTGTGGAGCAAGTCAACATGTCCATGCAAAGCTTACCAACCACGTCACAGAGTTCACATAGCTCCTGCTGAGGCAAGGGAGCAGCGGTGGCTCACGCTGCAAAAGGACGCGGTGCTTGGTGTGTAGAAACCGAATCTTAGTCGAACCTGTTCTTGATATACGTGTATTCAAGTCCACTGCGGCAATCTGAACACACCCGTACTGGCTTGAAACCAAGAAGGCTGAAAAGATGCTTCATGCCCCGCCACCTGAGCCACAATCAAAACCCGGGTAAGTGAAGCTTTGTAAGGGACGATCCCAGCCATACATAGCTGCGGATATCCGCCTGCTTAGTTCTTTACATGGTTCTTGGTCGACCATTCTTGTACCGGGTTTTGTGACTCACCTTTCTTTGGAAGGAGTTAGAGACCAAACTCTCAGCAGTGTATGGCGAGCTCAAGGCCATGAGCAAAGAGCATGTACACACAGCATAGGCACACTGGAGCTGGAGCTTTGTGATTGCTCAGGCACGCTCAGCTGAAGCAGGTGCAGCCAGGGATGAGGCTGGCGTGCCATCTGCCTACACTACTTTGTGAGCTTGACCAGGTGCAACGCCTCAACAATGCCTTAGATACCGCTCGTGCTTCTTGCAAGAGCGCGGAGGTTGGGATGTGGAACATAGTCAACCAATTGTCAACAGTCATGCGGATCTACAGCTATCAAAGTTGCATCTGGGCAAAACAATATGCCACCCTGTCAGGCTCGTGCCAGTGCAGCGGAGAAGAGTCAAGCCGAGGCAGGACAAGCGGACGGAGGATTGCTTGGAAGAAGCTGCAGTTGTGAGCTTCGCAGACTGCAGCGCGATGTCGTGCGGCAGAGGGCAATGCAGAGCGCCTAGCTACTAGTTTCTCTTTCTCTCTTGGGTGTGCTTTCACAGAGACCACTTGCTTTGGCCACAGGGTCAGATTCTCTCGCTGCACTCCGCAGGCTCAGCGCCTCGTGACCGAGCTCCAGGCCATGGTTTCTGCATCGAGCCCAGTGCATCGAGCCCAAGCCCAAAGTTTGCGTCTGGCCAGGAGCTCCAAGCGTCTGCCGGCCTGGCAGTGCGCAGGGCGGAGCGCTGTGATGCCGCGGAGGCGGAGGCGTCCAGGCTGCAGAGTGAGCTGGTGAGGCTCCGCGCAGAGGAGATCCGCTGGAGGTCCGAGCAGCAGCTCCATGCCGACCTCGCGGAAGCTGACCGCGAGGCCAGCCGCCGTGCTCAGCAAGCTGAGAGACGTGCGGAGTCGGCCGAGCAAAGGGCCAGCAGTGCCGAGCTGCATGCGAAGGCGCTGGACTCGCAGTTGGCGACGGTCGGGGAGCAGTTGCAAAAGTCGGAGGCAGCACTGGAAGTGGCCCAGGCCGCAGAGCGGCAGTCACAAAGGATGGCGGGTGAGGCCACTTCCAAGCTGGCGGAGACCTCCCAGGAGCTGGCGCGCTGCTCTGACGAGAGCGCTGTCTGGCGGCGCAAGGCAGAGGAGGCCGCCGAGCTGCTGGAGCGGCTGACCGCCGCAGAGCAAACGGCCGCCCTCCTGGCGCAGCAGCTGCAGGCGGAGCGGGCGGAGCTGCGGGCGCAGGGCGAGGAGCTGCGGAGCAGCGAGCTCCGCGCGGCGGCGGCGGCCGCCGCCGCCGAGGCCGCGGAGGCTTCGGCCGCAGAGGCCGCGGCGTGTGCCGCGGACGGCGACCGCCGGGCGGCGGCGGCCGCGGAGCTGGCGGCGGCGGTGGAGGCGCGGTGTGCGCCGCTGGAGGCGGAGGCGCAGCGCAGCCGAGAGGAGGCGCAGGAGGCCCAGCAGGAGGCGAGGCAGCGGCGACTTGAGGCCGAGGCCACCCGCATGGCGCACTACGAGCAGGCCCGTTCGCATAGGTGTCCTTTTTTGGTTGATTTGGTTGAAAAATACAGGGCCCTGGTTTACCTGGTGGTTCAATCAACTACCAGGGCCATCTAATTTCCCAAAAAGGGCACCAATGCCCGTTCGCCTGTTCGACGTGTTCCATAGACGCAACCCAAATGTGCTTCAGGACCGGGAAGTGCAACGCCTGCGCGAGCGTTTGGCAGCTCAGACGGAGGAGCTGGAACGGCTTCAGACGCTGCTAGTGCGGCTCTCAGAAAGGATGACGTCATATTATGCCTCGAGAACAGATCCAATCCCATGTTCAGTATTGACCCAGTTCTTTCCCTCAGGCCATGGGTGGCAGTGCCTGCCTCAAGCTGTGCAAGTCAGCATTATTTACTCTCCGGGACATGTTTTTTTCTTGTTCTGATTCACACCATTTTTTTCCGCTGCATTTAGATCCATACTGACAACGGCGCGTTTGCTAAGTGCTACATTGTCGTTCAGACGTCCACACTGTCAAATTCAGATCTATTGAAAGAAGACAATTACTTGCACCGCTCACTTGGTTTTGGATGAGGTTTCGATGATGTGGCTGCAGCTGCAACTGCTGCAGCCACAGCATACCTCAGACCTCCGCGAAGGATCCGCGACCAGCCAGTGCGGGAGAAGGCTGGGGCAGGAAAGACCTACGGAGGCTTGTGCTGGTGACATGCACATCTGTGCAGGAGGTGACCCCACGAGGACGGCCTGCCTTGCCTCCTTCTGTGGCCGGTTGCCAAGTCCAGGAATGGGTAACTGCATAGCCATGCACGCAAAAGTGAACTGAACTTCTCTTGGCCGAGCCAAGGGACGACGTGCGGCATCTCCTTGTGACAATCCCTTGGCTTTGCCTCAGGACGGGATAGCGGGGAAGCGCGCAGACAGCTGGCGGTGGGTCAAGACCAATGGGATCCAATTTTGGTTGGTAGGTGAATTCACCACCCATTCTTAGTACCTATTTTAGTGGTTGGATTGGGATGATTTTAGGGGATTGGGATGGGATGTTTATTGGGGGATTGGCGTTGGGACAGTCTATTTCCGTGCTTGGATTGGTTGATGTTCTCTAGGGCTTACGGAATTTTGGCTTTTGACCCACCTTCCATTTCCCTTCTTAGGGATTCTTCCTTCCAGAAAGCTTTTGGAATCCCAGGTTGAACACCTCCGGAATCCCAGGTTAATGGCCATATGGCTGTGGCTCCAAATTAGAAAGGAGGGGTGTCCACGTTTCCACTGACCAAGGTTCCATTTTGGTACCTTTTGGTTTGTTGAGCCACAGCCATATCAGGGGCTTGCACGCGCGCCCTGGGTGGCTCAGCGCCAGGTGCCCCGCCGGCCCTCCTCGAAGTCGCAGAGGCGGGGCCAGGGCCCACGGAAGCGGCATCTGGGTATGAACCAAGTGGCACCAAGTGGCATCTGGCCGGAAGCATAGGTGTCCTTTTTGCGTTGATTTTTTTTTGGGTCGAAAAATAGAGGGGCGCTTCCTGGTTTACCTGGTGGTTCTTTCTCAACCAGGGATATCCGTCTATTTTCAAACAAAAAGGACACCTGGCGCGAGGGCCGGAAGGACTGCAAGCCGTGCCTTCTGAGGACCCCGAGCTTTGCGAGCACCGCGCCGGACGAGGAGCGCGCCTGAGCGCGAGAACAACTTCAGCTCAGCTCAGCTCAAAAGCGCGAGCTCTCGAGGAGTTGGGGTTTCTTGGGCAGTATTTTCTCTCCACTGCATTGCGACGACTCTTCTCGTGCATGCGGATGGCCAGTTGGGTAAGCTCGTTAGCTACGTGAGCTGTTGAAGTTACTAGAGTTTTTTCAGAGTCGGGGTAGGGCCGGATCCGAACATCGGACTGGCTGAGAGTGTACACAGCTTGCTTGGGCGATGCAATTTTGTGGATCTCCACAACTCAATGTAAATGCGTTTGGGTCGGAGTCACCCGCTGAAATGGGCGGGTTTTGCACAGTGGACATATTGCTTGGTGCCTGCAGAAAACAGACAAGGCCGAAACATGAAGAGCATGTTTTGAATGCCACTCTTGACCGTGTGGCAAGCAAGACTGCCTGCATGTCTTGCCAAAAAGCTATGGCTCGTAGCATGAATCGCAAACGCACAGATCGCCATCGGTGCGGGGAAGTCAAGATTGGGCTTGGACGGGTTGCAGGCCAACACAACACGTTTGCTCCTTTGAGTTGAATCTTGCACCATGGCGGAGATGGACGCCCGCTCCAATGCGTGGCCGCGTGCTGAGAAAAAAACACAGGGAGCTGAAAGGTGTGACCACAGACTCCGACCGTTGCGGCGGTCGACTTTGTGCAATGCTGATTGATGCCAGGGTTTGTCTCCACAGCCTGCTGCCGTTGCTCTGAATTTGCACTTTTTTGTTTTGTCTAGTAAGTTGGTTTCTTTCTTGGTTGTGCCTCACATTGCACTGGGGTGAGTAGTATTGTTTGCTTGACAAGGCTTTTTTTGAAAATCACACCTTCTGCTTTTGCCATCAAGGTCTGTGCCGATACCTCGGACGCAATCCACGCCGGGGTCGGCACCTTACCTCTCCAGGTTCCGGATGTTTTTCGTGTGAACCGGATTTTCGGCCACTCGTTGCTAGGTATCCAGGGCACGCCAAAGCCTCGGTAGGGTTTCTTGGTGGTTCGCAGCCATCACCTTAGCTTTTAAACGCCTTTTAGTGTTTAGTGGGCCGGGATTTCCAAATTTAACCCCCAAAAGTCAGTTAAACTTTTAGCAGTTCAGGTTTGGATTTTCTGGTCAGAGTCTCTGAAGGGATCCGGGCAGTGTTCAGGTTGGGCCACCGGCCTCTGCGCTTTCTGGCGCCTTGGAAAAAAACGTGGCTGTGGGGTCAAAACCGCTTTGGGATCTTTTGGGGGCCTGGTGCACCACCCATTTTAGGCTGTATTTTAGGGGTTGGAAGGATTTGGATTTTGACCCATGGCCACGTTTCAGCCGACAATTGAACTTGTTGGTTGTGGTCAATCTGAGAACTGCCCGCGCCAGGTGAAGCATCGCCATTCCCACCAATTTTGCTGGGAAGGCGTGGGCGTGACAGCGAGGTTCGCAGATCTCGCCTTGCTGCAGGTCGGTGTCGCACGCTGTACCTTCTCCGTTTATGGCTCGACCGTCTCCTTTGGGTATGGATGCCACTTCTGGCTTGATGCCATCAGCTTCGCATTCCATGGCGACGCTCTTTCAGCCTGTGCCTGCCTGAACTCATCGAGTGTATATGGCTGTGGTTGTCAAAACCAATGGTACCATTTTGGGGTAGGTGCACCACCCACTTTAGTCTATTTTAGTGGGGATTGGGATGTTCACTGGGGGTACGATTTGGATTTTGACCCATGGCCATATGTTTGCTATGCATAACAGGAACCCTTTCCAACCCGACTCAGGGGTTCCAGTTCAAGTTGGACATGCCCGACATCTCTCTGACTCCCCGCCTCGATTCTTCAAGGCCGGATTCTGAAGGTTGCTCTTGCAGCAAGCACAAGCACAACTTTCATATTGCTGTCTTGATCGGGCGGCCGCGTCTTTTTGTTTGTTTTACAGGAGACACTGCAAACATGCTTGGTGATGTGAAGAAGCTAACTTTAGAGCCTCCGGCTCAGTCCGCCGACATTGTCCTCTCCCTTTTCTCCTTCTTCCTCTCTCCCTTGTCTCCCTGGTGTGTTCTGTCGTCCTCTCTCCCTCCCTCTGCTCCCCAACCTCCCCATCCCCCCAAGCCTCTCTCTGCCCAATCTCCCTCTCTCGTATGTATGTATGTATGCATGTATATATGTATGTAATGTATGTACGTATGTATGTATGCATGTATGCATGTATGCATGCATGCATGTATGTATGGAATGCATGTATGTATGTAATGCATGTATGCATGTATGTAATGTAATGTAATGTAATGTATGTATGTAATGTATGCATGTATGTATGCATGTATGTATGTATGTATGTATGTATGTATGTATGTATGTATGTATGTATGTATGTATGTATGTATGTATGTATGTATGTATGTATGTAATGTAATGTAATGTAATGTAATGTAATGTAATGTAATGTAATGTAATGTAATGTAATGTAATGTAATGTAATGTAATGTAATGTAATGTAATGTAATGTAATGTAATGTAATGTAATGTAATGTAATGTAATGTAATGTAATGTATGTATGTAATGTATGTATGTATGTATGTATGTATGTATGTATGTATGTATGTATGTATGTATGTATGTATGTATGTATGTATGTATGTATGTATGTATGTATGTATGTATGTATGTATGTATGTATGTATGTATGTATGTATGTATGTATGTATGTATGTATGTATGTATGTATGTATGTATGTATGTATGTATGTATGTATGTATGTATGTATGTATGTATGTAATATGTATGTATGTAATGTATGTATGTATGTGTGTATGTATGTATGTATGTATGTATGTATGTATGTATGTATGTATGTATGTGTATGTATGTATGTATGTATGTATGTATGTATGTATGTATGTATGTATGTATGTATGTAATGTATGTATGTATGTATGTATGTATGTATGTATGTATGTATGTATGTATGTAATGTATGTAATGTATGTATATATGTATGTATGTATAGTATGTATGTATGGTATGTATGTAATGTATGTATGTATGTATGTATGTATGTATGTATGTATGTATGTATGTAATGTAATGTATGTATGTATGTATGTATGTATGTATGTATGTATTATATGTGATGTATGTATGTATGTATGATAATGTTTGTATGTATGTATGTAGTATGTATGTATGTATGTATGTATGTAATGTAATGTCTGTATGGAATGTAATGTGATGTGATGTGAGAGATGGTAATGTAATGTAATGTAATGTAATGCAATGCAAAATGTAATGTAATGTTAATGTAACTATTAATGTATGTAATGTATGTAATGTAATGTAATGTCATGTAATGTAATGTAATGTAACTGTAATGTAACAGTAATGTAATGTAATGTATGTATGAATTGGATGTTATGTATGTAGTAAGTATGTATGTAATGTAATGTATTGTAATGGCAATGTAATGGTAATGTAATTGTTAATGCTGTAAGTATGTATGTATGTATGTATGTATGTATGTATGTATGTATGTATGTATGTATGTATGTAATGTATGTATGTATGTATGTATGTATGTATGTATGTATGTAATGTATGTATGTATGTCTGTATGTAATGTATGTATGTATGTATGTATGTATGTATGTATGTATGTATGTATGTAATGGTATGTATGTATGTATGTATGTATGTATGTATGTATGTATGTATGTATGTATGTATGTATGTATGTAATGTATGTATGTATGTATGTATGTATGTATGTATGTATGTAAGTAATGTATGTATGTATGTATGTATGTATGTATGTATGTATGTATGTATGTATGTATGTATGCATGTCTGTATGTATGTATGTATGTATGTATGTATGTATGTATGTATGTATGTATGTATGTATGTATGTATGTATGTATGTATGTATGTATGTATGTATGTATGTATGTATGTATGTTTGTATGAATGTATGTATGTATGTATGTATGTGTGTGTATGTGTGTATGTATGTATGTATGTATGTATGTATGTATGTATGTATGTATGTATGTATGTAATGAATGTATGTATGCATGTATGTATGTAATGTATGTATGTATGTATGTATGTATGTATGTATGTATGTATGTATGTATGTATGTATGTATGTATGTATGTATGTATGTAATGATGTAATGTATGTATGTATGTATGTATGTATGTATGTATGTATGTATGTATGTATGTATGTATGTATGTATGTATGTATGTATGTATGTATGTATGTATGTATGTATGTATGTATGTATGTATGTATGTAATGCGATGTAATTTAAAGTAATGTAATGTGATGTTGTGTAATGTAATGTATGTATGTATGTTTGTATGTCTGTCTGTATGTATGTCTGTATGTATGTATGTATCCTTGCACTTCCCCTTTGCTCCCCAGTATTTCCCGCAAAAAACACTGTTTTTCCAGCGTTTTCGCAAAGATGATGTCCAAAAACACAGAGTTTTTCCAGATTTTCGGCAAAAGGATGCAGGAAGCCCAAGCCAGCAACAAAGCCGGCAGGGGGAATCGAGCCTGGGACCCCTGTTTTGCGACACCGGGTCCCCGAAGACTACGTTTAGTGGAACGTCATCAAATTGCCGCGCGGTCCTTTGGGGGGGGGGGCCGCGGTCCTTTGGGGGGGGCCCCCCCCCCACGTATCAGACGTCGGGTGGGGGGGGGGTTAGGGGGGGGGGTTATCCTCTATCCTCTCTTAGGTGTCCGACACGCC